GGAGAGGTGGCGGGCGTCGCGACGCCGGACAAAAGCGCCGCCGGACAATGGCCGTTGGCGTAATCCGGCGCCGCGCGTAGAGGCGTCGTTTTAACGACGTCGAGGCGGCGGTGGTGGCGGTGGGGGAGTCTCGCTGGGAGTCCTGACGTCGGCGCCGATGAGTGTGGACGGGTTCTGGGCGAGTTTCCCACGGCTTGCGTTCCGGACGCCGTGATTTCTCGTCCAAAGTCGTCACACTGTCATTCATTTCGTTTGAGATAGTCTCGCCCGCTTCCAGTTCGATTCTGATACATATTGTGAAGAGCAGGGTTTCTCGAATGCAAGTATTCTGAAAGGAATCCCCAATGTGCCTCTATGCTTTCATTAGAGTTGCGTCGATCGCGCCACAGCATCCCCCCCCTCGATACTCTCAATGAGCTCATAAATTCAGCGTGCTCCCGCTGGCCTCCAGATAAGTGGTGGGCCAGAACACGCCAACTAGGGTGACCACTTCAGCACCCCTGGGTTATGTCGTCGCGTGTGTTCAGGTTGCGTACGTTTCTGACTCAAGGTCTTGGTGTCATTCATCTTACTGTGATATTCTTGTCTGCTTCCGATTCGATGCTTGTACGCACGGGCTGCACAAATTTCTTGGAGCAGATTGGAAGGAGGAGCCGTGTGCTCACGGCGGCAGTGGCCCGCGTGGCATTTGTTTTCCACTAGAGCCGCGCAAGCGCCTTCCCTGTTCTTCCGTCTAGATGACTCGACAAGCAGTGAACGACAAGTAGTGGTCCCGAAATAAGCACTGGTTCGGGGCCCTCTAACTGCACCGCCCTCTTTAGAATCCCTGGGTTACACCATGGTTTCTGCTCATTTCACGATGATTTATGACCCAACGTGGTCATCATGTTTTCATTTAAATATATTCGTGCACCACTATACCCCACTATAGCACGTGCTATCACGTGCTATAGTGGGGTATATTGTGTACAAGTAAAGATGCTGAGAATGGAGTCATAAAACCCTATGTTTTCAGAGCAGTGCGGTTCCGGTGGATGGCCCATTTGGCGTGGCCACTCCTAGCACTAATCGACGGGCCACCGACGTCGCCCACTGCTTGTGGAGTTGACCAGACGAAAGTGGAGAACAGCAGCGTGGGTGGAACAGAGCGGTACTGCGTTGGCAGCGACTTCTTGAAATCGCTGCCTTCGATGAATGCCGCAGCTGTGATCTTGTAGCAGGGTGGGGAAACGGTTCCTGGAATCGTCCCTCCTAGAGGGTATGATGTCCCCGACTGGGAACGTATTGTGGCGTCATATCAGTCGCCTTGTACAAACGTAGCAAATATCAGCCACGTGCATTTCATGGACTGCGCTGGCAGAAGAGACGCTGGGCTGAACAAAGGCTAGGGAGCGGAAGGGAGGGGTGCCATGTCGTGGGTGGCAAACTTGGGAACCCCATAGGCGGCGGAAACGCATCGGCGGAAACAGCGAGATGACGCAGTTCCGTCAGCCGGCCCAGAAGGTGTATAAACGGACCCCAGAACTAAACTCTTTTTTCTGATTCTTAGGCGCGTCGGTAGGAAGTCGTGTGGGTTGTGCGCGGCGCTGCATTTTAATGCATAGGCTACCGAGGCAGGGAACTGAAGCCGGCGTGCTACGTCGAGACGGGAGGTGCGACACACTTGCTTGTATGCTCACGTAGGCTACTGGTGCATCACACCGAATGTGATATTTAATTATCGGGCCAGCGGTGGTGGTAACCAGGGAACATTCCTTCTAGTAACGGGTCAATAGTTATTTGTAAATTTTGTACATAGTATTCAGGTGTTGGAGCATTTTTATTCAAATAAATACTTAATATTTACAAACCGTTCAAGTCTGTAATTTATTGCCCCGGCAGAGACGCCACAATATCAATGAATTCGTGTCAAGGGTGCAATTAATCCACAATAGGTATCTCTTTTATAATTTACACTTTTGGAAATGTTCAAATCTAAGTGATTCTTGACAGTATTCTTAGGATTCATTCAGACAGTTTGCGTAAGTGAATATGGTTTCTCAATTGTTAATTCTTCGATAAGTCTCTTCTTGGAGTTTGAATCTCCCCATTTGGAGAAATTACTAATTCGCAAACTGCTTGGCAGGATCTGAGCGGAGCGCTGTTTAAGGCTGATGTCGAGGTCAGTACTGGACCTGCTAGGCACCCGTCTATGAATTCATATTAGGGGTTCAGTTTGTGGACTTTGGGGGTATCTGGGTTCCCACAGCCAGATTGCAAACATTTTGACATGTACTGAAGCGTTTGCGAGCGATATATGACATCCCGTAATATCATCACTTGCGTCTTGATTCTTATCGTTCACCATTTAGTATTTGCTGTTTAAGCTCGTCTTACGATTTTAGTGATCTTGAGACCTCACAAATTCTAAGAGACTACAATTATTTATAACGTTGCGCTAAGTGATGTAGAATGCTTAAAGTAAAAAAAGGCTTTTCACATTTGTAAATTATATCGTAAAAGAAAAGTGTTGATCAAAAGCGTTTTAAATATAATTGTGAAGCGATAATATCTTTGGGCACTGTCCATCAGGAAAGATTGTCAGATTAGGCGGAATTCCACTTTTTGGGCTCACTCTACCGAGGCAAAAATTCATTTCACGGAATACCGCTGAACGAGCGGAAATGCATAAAAAATGTGCGGTTTTGGGCGGGATTTCAGATTACGACGAAATTTTCGAAAAACAATCACAACGAAGTTGACAGTGAGTTTGAAATTTAGTTTTTTTACATTATACATTATTTTTCATTAATCATGTGTTAATTCGTTCAAATTTACTTTGAGAAGTGAGCAAAGTTAGTTTTTAGACCTCTAGTGTAGGATCTGTTCTAAAAGTCATAGCATTTTTGTCGTGTACAACGTAAGTATATATCATATTAGAAGTACTTCGAGTTAATATGTGAACACGCCATTTTAAAATAGTCATCATTTGGAATAACGGTTTCACCATCAGCATTTTCCATTAAGCCGTAGGGAAGAAGCATGTCTATGTAATCATTGCTGTTGTAATCGTTATAAGCGTGTATATTTAAGAGGAGCAAGGAGAATGAAAATAAAGTGGAGAAAATTATTTTATCCCTTAAAGTAATTCTCCCATCTGCTGTAGACATAGGAATAATCATTACTATTTTTTAAAATATTAAGATATTACTTATTATTACAAAAAGTGCAAGTTTTTACATAAATAATAGTATTAATTATAATGTTCACCAACAAAAAATAAAACAAATCAAACATTTCATAGGGTCACTATCTCAAACAAACCTAATACAATTGTTTTAATGCAAATTTAAATTGCTCGCTTAGAATATTGAATTTTTCTTATTTGGGCGGAATTGGAGGATTTACATCCATCTAACAGAGGTTTGTACAAGGTACCGGTAAATTTATCAATTCTAACTGCTTTACATTACACTAGCTTCTTGATTGATCCAAGCCCAAAAGTTTCTTATTTCGAACAATTTTCACAATGAGAAATTTTCTTTACACTCCTAAATCTATTAATAAAAACGAAGATGGACATAAAGGATGAATCTATTATGTACACATTTACCAAGATTGCAAATTACCCTAGAAACATTAAATAAAATCAACCGCTTGCCTACATTGCCCGATAATTGAGAATTATTGGGTGTGTATCCTCGCGTTTTCAGAGAAAGTAGTAGCAAAGAAGATCAAAGTAATTCGTTCACTGAATAGAAATCACTAATTCTAGTTGATCCAGTTGTATAACGAGTGTGCGGATATGTGTATTTCCTGTACATTTTTTAAAAAATCGAATAGATCTATGCGAGTTAAAAAACAATATTTGCCCCTTTTAATCGTATCAGTTTCTACAATTTTGTAGCATTCTAACACATTTATGTTCATCTTCTTTTTGTTTCTTAGTCGACTTGAGAAAACTTCGTTTATTAAAAAATAATACTATATTTTCAATATTTCACTTATCTTTCACTCTTTTTAATTATAAGTAAGTACTTAGCAATTTTATGGTAAGGTTTTAATTCCATCTTTCCTTGACAATAACTTCTGCCGTTAATGTGCGATGTTAGTTAAGTACATTCCATTGAGATGTATATTCTTTTAACGTCTTCCTCATCTACACGTTCAAAAGCCACGAATTCCACCGTAATGATTACTGACTTCGCCCCAGCACTATCACCGCTCTAGTCAGCATTTGCGAGCGTCATGATGTCTCTCGAAATGTCTTCCTCCCATTCCCCGTCTCCTCCACTCCATCCCCCCCTCTCCAGTGCCATGCCACCCAAGCGTGACATTCATTCCGACGCAACTATCGCTTTTCTGCCTTCGGACTTTATTACACGCCCTCCACGTAACAGCATTCGCCTTTCGTGAAGCCCCGGTGCCTGGCGCCGCGCCATCCATCGCCTTTGTGCGGCGGCGGCGCCTGGCGCTCCTTGATCACCTCGGCCGCCGGGTGAGCTCCATCAAGCGCCGCCTCCCGCGCTGACCGCTGCGCCGGCCGTCGAGATTGCACGGGTCAGGGCGCCCCCGCCCCGCCCGCGCCTGGGCGTCTGGTGCGGTTAGGGCGCAGGTGGGGATGTGCGGAGGTCAAGAGAACGGGTGGGGGGGCGGCGAGGGTAAAGAAAGGATGAGCGGGGGTGGTTGGGGGTTCGCGCGGCGGCCGAGGCAGCTGGTCGCCTACGCGGGTGGCGGGAGCGGAGGGCGGCGGCTGGTGTAGGGGCAGATGTGTGTAGCCTGGCGGGTGGGGCGGCGGGGGCGACGGAGTGGGTGTCGGCAGACGTGGGTGGCGGGGGCGACTGGGGTGGTGCGGGGCGCTCGAGCGACTGCGGCGGAGCGGTGGGGCGGTGGAGGGGATGATAGGAAACGTGTGAGGTATGAGGAGAGGGGGGGGGCGCCCTGCGAGGTGCATGGGCGTACGTTTATTACCGGCCGCGAAGGCCCCGCGTTGGTCACGCGGCGGCTTTTTTCGCCGCAGCCTCGTCCGCGCCGGTAATTACGCGCCGAGACGACGCTCTGGCGTCAGTCGGCTGTCTGCGCGCTTGAAATATGGGGCGGCCCGCGAGGATTGTGCGAATGGTTCCGCCGCGGCCGTCGGAGACCGGCAACGGCGGTGTACTAAGCGGAGACGGGTCGGCGGCGAGAAAGTCCTTGTACGCCTGTTGCGTGGGGCGGGGTGCGTGACTTACGGGTTTGGAGATGGGGCATGTGTTGGGGCGGTAACTGACTGGGGGAGGTATCGGTTGAGTGGCGGAGTTGGAGGAGGCGGGGCAGAGGTGGGGCAGAAGCGGGGCGGGGGCGCAAGGCGGTGTGGAGGCGGGGTGAAAAGGGCGGCAGAAGCGGGGTGAAGGTGGGGCAGAGGCGGGAAGCGAGGCGGGCGGAGTCAGGGCGGAGGCGGGGGCGGAGGCGGGGTGAGAAAGGGCGCAGAGCGGGGGCGAAGGTTGGGCAGAGGCGGGAGCGAGGCGGGGCGGGAGTCAGGGCGAGGCGGGGCGGAGGCGGGGTGAAAAGGGCGAGAAGCGGGGCGAAGGTGGGGCGAGGCGGGAGCGAGACGGGGGCGGAGGTCAGGGCGGATTGGGCGGAGGCGGGGGCGGAGGGCGGGGCGGAGGCGGGGCGGAGGCGGCGGGAGGCGGGGCGGAGGCGGGGCGGGAGGCGGGCGGAGGCGGGGGCGGAGGCGGGGGCGGGGCGGGCGGAGGCGGGCGGAGGCGGGGCGGAGCGGAGCGGAGGGCGGGGCGGAAGGCGGGGCGGGAGGCGGGGCGGAGGGCGGGGCGGAGGCGGGGCGGAAGGCGGGGCGGAGGCGGAGGCGGGGGGCGGAGGCGGTGGCGGAGGCGGCGGGGCGGAAGCGGGGGCGAGGGCAGGGCGGAGGCGCGGTGGAGTCGGAGCAAAGCCGTGGGGGCGGGCGGCGGTAGACAGAGTGGGTGAAATGGCGATGACTGTCGGAGGCACAGGGGGCGGCAGTGTCGGCAAGAAAGGAGGAGACGATGTTAGAAGCAGTGGAGCACGCGTTGGATGGAAGTGAGGATAAGCTCGAAGGTCGTTGAGGCAGAGACAAAAGCTGGAAATGCCTGGGACGCGGAGACATATATGTGACGTTGAAGTTAATGAAGATCACAGTAACGTGCAGAAGATGAAGGCCGTAATTGTGGCAGACACAAAGGCGGAGATGTTAGCCGCGGCAGTGAAGCTGAGGACAAAGGTC